TGGAACTTTAAGCATAGTTTTGCCTTCGACTCTGATTTAATTCTACATGGTATTTGGAACGCTGACACCAATATTATAAAAATAAAGAAAAAGTTTTAATCCATAGGTAAAAAAAGAAATAGAAGAAGAAAAACCAATACTTTCACTTTAAAAAGTAGCGAATACTTGCAAAACTTCCGTCCATAAAAAAAAGATAACACACTGTCCAATATAGCTTAATTTCTCCGCTTATTTTTCTTTTCTTTGCAAGCTTAATTTAGCTCTGATTTTTTTTGCGCAGTCTCTTTTATAACAATAAAATTTCCTCACCAGATGGACCCATTTTCTCTTTCCTCCCATTGCAGAACTTCAGCAGCTTTTGGCTGCGCTTCTGTCAATGGCAAGAAGAGATTCTCTTGGATCAATCAGGGACTTTGCGATGTCCTTGAGATCAGCAAGATGTACTCTTCCCTGTAACCGTCACTTCGGGACAGTTTAGGTCCAAAAGGACCGTCCAGCAGCAAAACTATCGACTGCGATCTCGGAGCTCCAAGATCACACGTTGTACCGTTGTGACGTCAGCTCCTGTCTCTGAATTCCTTTACTGTTTTCATTTTGATTGTTGGGCCTGATTTTTCTGTGTGTGTGGTGGGGGGGGGAGGAAGCAGCAAACTTCACACACACACACCCAAAATCACAGCCAAACATTTTATTATTGATTCAAAGGAGGTGTGGTGGAGTAGTGGCTTGAACATACTAGAGGAGATCTTTGCTCCGGGGATTCGAGTCCCAGCACCACGGGACGGGATAAGCCCCCAGTACTTGCCTCAGCTTCAGCCAACCTAGCAGTTTGAAAGTATGTTACAGCAAATAGATAAATAAGTACCACTTTGGTGGGAAAATAATAGTGCTTCATGCAGTACGGGGGGCTCCAGGCAATGCTGAACCTTCCCCAAGTAGGCGGAGGGAAAAACCCCAGATGAGGCTGCCAAATGCCCTTAGCCGTTCTGAATGCTAGTTTGTCCCCTCTGGTGCCCAGTGGGTAGAGCAGAAGCAGGAACCGAACGGACTACCAGGCAGCCAAAAAACTACTCTCTATTAACACATTAGTCTCTCCTGACTAATGTATCATTGCCGTATGCTAAATAAATAAATATTGGTTCGAATTGCCCTGGGTAAAATGAATCCAGAGTTGGGATGGAGAATAACAGGACAACGCCCAGTTTTCAATTAGGTGCTAACAAGAAGGTGTAGATCAGTGTTTGTCAACCTTGTCAACTTGAAGATGTCTGGACTTCAACTCCCAGAATTCCCCAGCCAGGCTGGGGAATTCTGG